CATTCCTTATTGCAAGTATTTCAGTTTTTTCCTTTTTTTGATAAGGTTAGCTAGGGGTTTATCTATTTTATTTATTCTTTCAAAGAACCAACTCTTCAATTCATTTATTCTTTGTATTCTTTTTTTGTCTCCATTGCATTAATTTCTGCTCTGAGCTTTATAATTTCCTGCCTTTTTCGGGCTCTAGGTTTGACTTGCTCTTCTTTTTCTAGAAGCTTGAGGTGCAGCATAAGATTGTTTATTTGTGCTTGTTCTGTTTCCCTAAGGTGGGAGTTCACCGCTGTTAATTTCCCTCTGAGGACTGCTTTCATTGCATCCCACAGGTTCCTTTAGGTTGTATCTCCATTTTTGTTTGATTGTAAATAGCATTTAATCTCTACTTTGATTTCATCTGTGACCCATTGGTTGTTCAGGAGGATGTTATTTAATTTCCCACTGCTTATGGAGTTTTGTGTTTTCTTTTGTCATTAATTTCCAATTTCATTGCACTATGATCTGATAGTATACACGGGATAATTTCAATTCCTTTACATTTACTTAAACATGTTCTATGTACTAGTATATGGTCTATTTTAGAGAACGTCCTATGTATAGCTGAGAAGAATGTGTATTCTGATGACCACTACACATTCTAAATGAGGGACACAGCCTGCACCTTGCCTACCAACAAGGAGGCCAGGTATGCTACTCCAATCAGGGTGCAATGAGGTCTCTGCTGTCTGGAGAACTGGACCCCTGCCTGCAAACCTATGGCTGTGTGTCATACATAAGGAGAGGCGCCTCTGTTCCTCAACCAGAAATAGTGATCATGCTAAAGGAGGCTCAGCCCACAAATATCTGAACACCAGTCTCCACTTCCTTGCCGTGTACTAGTCTGGGTCTTAGAAATGAAATCTTCCATGTGATTGCAAACTAAGTGAGTTATTTTGTCTATTACAACATCCAGAATTCCCCAAGCCCCTCAGTAGCAGAAGTATGTAGATACTTGATAGGATTCCACTAACAGAGCTTTGGGACATCTCAATGATAATCCTGTAAAGAATCTACTAAAGCACTGGCATCATCTTAAACTCTACACAGAGAGCAGAGAATAAGAATGGAGATGAGACAGAAACCAAGTTTTCAAAGCCTCTAGACACCTACCAGATCCTCATAGACAACCAAGATCTGCCACCACACCCCTTAGCAGTTTCTGCTCTCTGTGAGCTCCTGGCCTCTGCTGCGCCTCTGAGCCTAGAGAAGCCTAATTCTGAATGCCCACTGGGAAAATAACAGCTTACACAGGAGAAAATATTACAAATTCAAAATCAGGGACAGAGTCTGCAAATTGTAGAATTTATAAGGAAACCATGTGTTATGGTTGATACATTGTGTCAACTTGGGGAGTCTAGAGGTTTGGCTAAGTGACTCAGCAGAAAGCCAGGGTACTTACTTTGTATACATCTTGATCCTGTGGAAGAGGAGGGCATGGAGATTATGTCAGAGCTACATGCCCCTTAAGTGGGGGTAGCCTGTTTACAATGTAAGGCAGGGAAAGAAGCTGCTTGCTGTCATTCTGCCCGTTTGCTCTGGCTGCATTGCTGTTCGGCTGGCATTCCCCCTTTGCTCTTGTTGCTTTGCTATCTTCTGCCTCGGAGCCAGCCAAGTATGGACTGAAACCTCCACAAACTGTAAGCTAAATAAACCTTTCCTTCCTTAATTTTGGGCATTGGGTGTTTTGTCTCAGCAGCGAGAGAAAAGTAACCAAGACACCAGGTAACTAGAATAATCAAGGCAAATGGGACCTCTGCTGCATGAAGAATTTGTCCCCTGCTTGCAAACCTATGGTTATGTGTCATACACAGAGAGGAAGGCTTCTGCTCTTCAACAGAAATAGTGATGGTGCTAAAGGAGATCTGGCCCACAAATGTCCTAACACCAGTCTCCACTTCTGCCATCTACTATTCTTAGTCTACTCAAGCCAGCACAGAAATGAGTTTCTAAGAGCAAAAAGGGAAAGGAATCAGGTTAGTATTCTGAAGGAAGGCCCAATATGCAGTGGAGTAGTGGTGAGTGTACAGACAGGCAAAACTTCAGCCCTGAGACTTCACCTACCACCACTACCTTTGTTCAGCTCACTCCACTTCCAGAGTCTGTAAGGTGAGAATATACAACACCACAGCTGCCATTCCTGATGCACTGAAGAGACCCCTAGGAGCTGACTGAGGCAGCCCACACTTTTCAGCACTCTTGTTGATCAGTCCCCCTGCACCATCACTCTCTAAACAATTCCCTTCCCTCATCTATTGCTGTGGTCTTTTGGGAAGACACTTCAAACCTTACCATGGTAGAAAGAGCTTAATTTTCCTTTTTGTCAGGATTTAAGATGCAGTGTGTTAGAGATTCTGTCCAAATCACATGGCTCAGTATCTGTCTTGCTTTTGTACCTACAGGAAAGTAGAGAAATTTGAGTGGAACTTAATTAAACAAGAAGGTTATGCTTGACAAAACACACACACTCTCTCTCTCTCGCTCTGTGTGTGTGTGTGTGTGTGTGTGTGTGTGTGTGTGTGTGTGTGGCTGGAGCTTGGAATCAAACTCAGGGTATTTGACCTAGTATGTGGCCAAATGAAGACAATTTTAAAATCACTTTTCCTTTTCCATTAACAACAATCCAACCAAAGAAAGAACTACAGAAAACAGATATTAAATGATAAGCAGTAAGAACAGTTACCTCATATCTCCTAAAGCAGGGCCATGCTCCTTAAAAAGAACCATTGGAAATGCCTTGCTCACTATTGGTGTGCTGGTTTGGAGGAGGATCAATTCACTTATTATAGAATAATTTTTTCCTTGACTCTTTTGTAGTGATGAAGATTTCCTCAGGGACAAAGATGTCCCTAGGGCTGTAAACTCCAAAACAGATGTTTTGTCTGCCAAAATCCTCCAGAATTCCCCATTTTGCAATAGCAGAAATATCTAGATACTTGAGGGTAACCTATCACCTGAGCTTTGGAACATTTCAACAACTTCTCTAGTACATAATTCTACTAATCTGCTATTGTCTCCAGCTACATGTGAGGAACAAACAGAAGAAATAGGAGGAGATGCAAACAAAGCTTTCAAACCTCTGAATACATACTGAATCCTGACAGGCATTCAAGATCTACTGCTATTTCCCTTAGAAATCATTGATGCACATGTGGTTCTGACCCTTATTAATCCTGTAGCTAAGGAGAAGTGTGATTAAAAATGTCAACTGGAGAAAGCCTCCCCTGAGTCTTAAAGAAGAAGGGACAGTTGAAAATGGGATTAAGTGGAGCTCTGGATTTGCAGATGTGCTATCCTGATAGAGCACATTTACTTTCCCTAGCTTTTCCATTTCTTGGATGATCTTGACCAATCCAACCATCCTATACCATTCAAAGCCAAAGATACTGGAGCCATTGAGGTTAATCAGGTGCAGAAAAACTCAGGTGTCACAAAGGATCCCTTGCATCAAGTGAGGAGGAACAAGCATAAATCCTTCAAACCAGCCACAAGAGCTCCTGAGGTCCCAATCCAGCTAAAGAACCCAGAGAATGTTAGAGGGAAAAGTGGTTATTTGAAGTCCTGTAGCCAACAACAGGATTCCTGTGGACAGAGATAAGCATCTGAATGGCAGACCTCAGAAAAGCATCCAGCAGGACCAGCCAAGCTAAATACTATGGCAAGTAAGGGCCAAGAGGATCAGAGGAAAAAAACTACAAAAAGGTAGAAGAGGGGAAGCAATAGGGGCAAAATGTCAAGGCAGAAGAAAAGCCAACTGTTACCAACATGAAGCTCAAGAGAAATCAACCAACACTTGGCAAGGAGAGCCCTAAAGATACTAAAGCTGTGCAGATATACACACGCGAGAGACAGTGCAGGTTGTCACGCACTGGGGAAGAGTGAACTGGGATTTGTGCCTCTTGGGCTGTGGGAACCTTGAGCAGCAGTGAAGACCCCAAGCCGTTGCCAACAACTGAACTGTGGCTGGGGGCCCTGTGTTAGGGGAAACAGCACAAGAAGATTCAAGTCAAATCCCAGAAACCATAAAGCAGTATAAACCAAAGTCTCCATCTCCATGCCTGAATGATTGGGCACCATGATGGAAAGACAAGTTAATACCTTTGCTTTTTCTAAAACACAGTAAGACCCAAATTCAATTAGTTTCTCAAAGGCCACAGCGTCTAGCTTCATGCAGGACCAGTGTAGCTTACCTTGCATAATCTCCTAACACAGATCAATCTATTGCAGTCAATCCACTCTAATCACCTCTTTCCAATACCTTTTTGACAGATGCAAGCAAGCAACTCAGAGAATTTTGAATAATGCCAACAAACTGGGTTAAACCACCTCAACCCAGCTTAGTATTCATCAGTCTGCCACCTCTAGGCCTGCAGCCTACAAAACATCACCTTGTGATTCTCTCCAGTGGGAACCTGTTGCCATGTCTGCGTCCAAATTCTGGGGCTAAGCCTCAAAACTAGTTTCGACTCCTAGACTTCTGCCTCCAACCAATTCCACGAAGGCAACCCAATATTCCTGAGCCAGTAACGTCAACAGAGCACAACAGAACAGAGACCAGAGCCTGAAGCCATGAAGAAGAAGGATCAAGAAGAGCCAAAGATTGCTGCTAAATATACTTTATTGCAGAAATTGTAGTTTTTCTTTCAGGAGAAGACATATGGAAAGCATGACATAAAATGGTAATGCAAGGTAAGAACTGCACAGTTGCAAAGATAGCACAAAACAATTTAGGTACTATAGTTTGCCATATATATGTATAAATTTACTTATTCCGATACACTTTTCAAAATATGCCATAAAATTAAATAAAGAAATATAGTAGAGCCAGGTGTGGTGGCTCACATCTGTAATCCCAGCACTAAGGAGGCTGAGGCAGGAGGATTACCCTGAGTTAGAGGCCAGCCTGGGCTAAACAGTGACTGCATCAGTCTTCATATTCCATCACAAGAGCTTTCTGTCTAGAGTCACCCTTCAGTATCCACAGCAGTTGGTTCCAGGACCCCTCAGTGATACCAAAATCATCAGTGCTCAAGTCTCATATAGAAGGTTAAAGTATTTGCAAAGAACTTACATATTTGCTCCTGTAATATTTAAATCACCTCTAATTATTCATCATACTCAACACAATGTAAATGCTACATATATAGTTTTTATACTATCTTGGTTAGGTAGAAATTGTAAGAAAAAAATCTGTAACATTAAATCTGTTCACTGCAACTCAGTATCTCTTCTGCGTATTTCAGGTTGGTTGAACTGACAGGTGTGGAACCCATGGACATAGAGGACCAACCGTACTGATTTTCTAATTAGGCAAAATACAGTTTCAGTTCATCTTCTCAAATGGGCCCACAATAGCTTCAAGGCAACACCCATTGGAGGACAGAGGGCCATGGGTGTATTATGCCCTTTGGTGCAAATCCCCTGATTTCTCCCTTGATCCCCAAAATTTATCAACACTGGAGCAACAATGACCCTTTCAAAACAGAAGTCAGAATTTACCACCCTTCTGCTTGAATTCTCCCATGGATTCTCATTTCTTTTTGTTAAAGCAAACATCTTCACAATGTCCTAAGTATCTATGCTACATCAGGGATCAGCAAACATTTTGTATAAAGTGTCAGACACACACTGTGGAGACATGAGGATCAAAAGTTCCAGCCTAGCCTGAGACACTTTACTACAGCTTATCTCAAAATAAAAAATAATAAGGACTGAGGATATAGTTCAGTTGTAGGGTGCTCCAAGTTTGTATTTCAGCACTGTAAAAAAAAAAAAAAAGATTACAATTAGAAAATGTTCTCATATTTTCCCCTATAATTTAAAAAGGAAAATTTTAGTAGGTTGCTAATTGAAAAAAGAAAGCTGGGAAGAAGAGGCCAGCCTGGGCTACATACTGAGTTCAAGGTCAGCCTAAACTGTCTCAAAAAAACAAGAAAAAAAAAGGAAAGAAAAGAAAACACGTAAGTTACCATAACATAGTTTCTACACTTTTTAAAAAATATAAAGCACTGCTTTGGAACCTATGAAAGCAGATCTAATAGATTATAGCAGTTAAATGTAACAACTGTTATAATTAAGGACAACATACAAAATGTAATTTAAGTCCGTCAAAACCTAGAAAATCTCTATTGGTCTTGCAATAATTTTGTCTTTCTGGCTAAAAGACAAAACCAGGGTGGAAATAAACACAGTTACACTTGACATAAGAACATGTAGACTCAAGAAGAATAGAGTTTTCCGTCAGTGTGGGAACTGGAAAAGTTAGCCTTTGAATGCAGTGGGTCCAATAAGCAGTGAAAGAATTTCTTCACAAGTTCAAAGTACAATGGAGTACTCGTTTCAGCAGCAGATATACTAAAATTGGAACTGAATGTTTTAACATGTAAAAATTGTACTGCTATAAAAATGATCTCATTGTGTGCTATAGTTTTGATCTGAAAATCCCCCAAGGACCTACGTCCCGCTTGGTACTACTGACAAATGTTGAAACTTTTGAGAGGTGGAAACTTCCTAGTAGGAAGTCTTCAGGTCATCCCCTCTTCTGGAAGGGACACCCTGGAAAACAGATTATGAGACCCAATACAGATACTGAGACTACCCTGCCCCACCTCTCCCACTCTCTCATCCCCTCCCTGGCCTTGCTACCCCTTTCTCATTGGCTCAGGAAAAGCGTGAGGACCTTGCTCCACTAAATGTTCTCCCATAATGTGTGATGCCTTGCTAAAGGTGCAAAAGCAACAAGCTGAACAAACCATGGATTGAAACCTTCAAAAGTGTGAGCTAAAATAAATCTTTCTCTTTTTAAACTGATGGGCTTAGGTGTCTGTCACAATTACAAAGAGCTGGGCCAGGGAGATAGCTCAGTAGTATAGCACCTGCCTGGCAAGCACAAGGTCCTGAGTTTGATTCCTGGTACCAAAAAAAATATATAATAATAATTACAAGAAGCCAATTAATCTATCATATCTAAAATTTATATCTCCCACCTAACATGCAAGTAGCTGTGCATTTGCTTAATTTTCATGAGGACACATTAGAGACTGGTCTGGTTTGTGGTTGCTTAGAATATGTTGTTAGGCACATATTATACACCACCACTATAAAATCAATGTATGAGAGATCTGATACTGAGATAAAATAAAACAACACTTCGTAAAATGTACGCTTGATAGAACATATCATAAATGGTTTGCAAAATATTCCACAAAATTTTTTTCGAGCAGGGTCTGGCTATGTATTCTAGGCTGGCCTTAAACTCAGTGTGGAACCCAGGATGGCCTCAGACTCAGAGGGATCCTCCTGTCTTAGCTTTCCAAGTGCTGGGATTACAGATGTGTACCATCACACCCAGCTATAACTTCTTAGATAAGCATCATCTCACATAAATCAGTGAATAAATCTTTTGTTCAGCACCCTTATTTCCCCTATGCTCCACTAGTGGTCTTCCTTTTCTAACTATACTCCTCTCCATTTGGCCTGCCCTTATGTCTGCACACAGCGGACTGAGAATGTGAGAGGCCTTAGACTCTGCGCTAGCTGTCTGCGCTCTGGTGAGGAGGCCACAGTAACTGTCATGCTGGATTCACTTACCTAAGAAGACAAAAAGCATCCTCAATGCCTATCACATGTGGAACAGCAGGATGGTAGGACATTGGCACTGACCCAGGAGCCAAAGGAGGCAAATTATGGGCAAAAGAATTGCAACCAAAGTGCAAGGAGGGAACATTTCCAGGCAGCTGTTTCTCTCACCTTTTTGGTGATTGGTCCGCATGGGCAGAGTCCAGTTGTCAAACCATCAACACACTAATGGAAAGAGGAGTAAAAGATGGAGAGGTGGGTAGGGAGGAAAGGAAAAGGGGATTTAAAAAAAGAATAAAGATGTATCATGTACATGTAACAAATCCACACAAGAAATGCAAGTGTGTACTAAATTATGTAATGCAAATGTATACTAATCAATGAATGAATGAATGAAAAAGGAGACCCTGGCATTGGCCAGCTGACAGGAAATAACATCTCTGAGTGTAAGAATGCAAAATTAAGGCTTGCCCAGGAACAAGTTCTACAGTGAAGAGGATGGCGGAAGAAGAGCAGGAGTGAGATATGACTTCAACATGATAAGGCCCAGCCCAGCCCAGAGGAAGGAACTAAGACAGAAGAACTCCAGACTGCATCATTCCCTACAAGCTGGTCTCAGTGGACGTCACCCTCCTCCTCAACCACGTTACTCTAAGATCTCTCTCATCCCTTCCTTTAGTCCTTAAAAGCCGCAATAAGTTCACTAATCCCATGCACCACAATGGTTTCAGAACAAATATCATTGTTCTACCTACAGGTCTCTTTCCCTCTTCCCCAAAGTTATTAACTCTATATACAATACATAGTTATGAGTAGAATATTAACAGTTATTGTGTGAAATATAATACACAAAGTAGAAATTACTACAGACAATTTGAAAGACACACTGAGGTGCTCTTTGGAACATGAGAACACAGGAGCAAGTGGGACACTTATGTTTGGCTCACAGGATGTCACCACTCTAGAGCTCACTCAGTCATTTAGATAATATTCTAAGTCAGCCACATTCTCTCCACCCAATCCCAACTGCCTGCTTTGTGACATCATCCAACTACCAAACCAATCACCACCTGGAAGAACCTTGGGGTTTCCACAGAGTCATTTGAAAAGAAGTTTGGATCATTACCAGTGAACAGCTTATCATGGTAAGGACAGTTTCATTTTCACCAAGTTTTAAAATCCTGTGTTTCAGAGATCCTGTCTAAAGCACATAGCTCAGTCTCTGTCCTGCTCATACAGTTCATGAGGAAGACCTCCACATGCTCTCCCAGTCCTCAGCGAGAGGCACTCTTATACCAGCCAGAGAGGAGAAGGCATTGAGTGGATCTGATAGGAGGACACTACACTTGGGGAAATACTGTCTCCGAGGGTATGCATGTATGGGTACTCATGCGTGTGTGTGTGTATGTGTGTGTGTGTGTGTGTGTGTGTTTGTATATTGGTGGGGTATGGCCTGACGCATAGTAGGCAGTGCTCTATCACTGTGACCACAGAATGTAATGTTCTAAAAGTCATTTTCACATTTCTTTTGACAATCCAGGACATAAAAGGAAAGCCATGAAACAGACATCAGGTGATAAGCAAAATGAACAGTTACTTCCTGGTTTCTAACACAGGGTCTTGTCCATGGTCCTTAAGAAGAGCTCATTGAAAGGCCTTGGCAGGATTGCAATTGTACAGGTGTACAGTGGAAGCACCTCACTTAGCAGGGACTGACTTTTTTCCTGATTCCTTTGCAGGAAGAGAAGCTTCCCCAGAGATGGAAACATCCCTGGGTCTGCAAGCCTTGAGCTCCACACAGTGTTACCATAACCTCCAGGATTCTCCATGTCCTGCAGTAGCAGAAGTACCCAGATGCTCGAGAGGAACACACCACTTGAACCTGGCCACTGCACTGCACACAAGTACTTCTCCCTCTGACACATACTTGACGTCTTCCAGCTAAGTTTTAGCCTCAGGAGCTTCCATGACTGACCTGGAGAGTTTTTGCTTGTTCCTCACTTGTTGCAAGGGACCTTTGCGATGCCTGACTTCTAGTTACCAAAAGCTCCAACGCAGAGTTCAGTTCATCTCTTGGCACTGGCTCCAAGTCAGGAACAACTAGAAAAGAACATGGATGAGATGGAAAACAAGCTTTCCAAGCCTTTGGATGCCTACCAGATCCTAAGAGGTGAACAAGATCCACCATTACTCCCCTTAGCAGTCCCTGACTCTCACAAGCTGCTGGTTCCCATTAAACCTCTGAGCCAAGAGACACCTGGTTCTGAAGATGCCCCCTGGGGAAAGAACTCCCTGACTCTCAAGGACACAGGGACACTTGGACACGGGGATTGAGTCTAGCCCAGGTTGGGCAGATGTTACCACCCTGGTGGAAGACACTTTTCCCAGCTTTTCCACTCCTTGATGCTCTTGACCAAACCAGTCTTCCCACAGCCACAGGAGTCAAAGACGCTAGAACCACTGAGGTCAATGGGTGCAGAAGATAAGCTAAGGGCTATAAGCAAGCAAAGACGCTAGAACCAATGGGTGCAGAAGATAAGCTAAGGGCTATAAGCAAGCAAGGACCAAGGGGACCAGAGAAAACAACTACAGAAAGCACAAGAGAGGAAGCAGTCCAAACACAAAGTTAAGGCAGAAGAGAAGCCAATAATTCCCAACATGCACCACAAGAGAAACCAACCTGTGCTTGGCCAAGAGGTCTTTAAAAAGCCTCACACCTGCCTAGGCACACACATGCTAGAGGTGGTACAGTTTTTCCATGCACTGGGGAAGAAGACTGACAAGAGAGCTGGGCTCTTCTCTTCCCAGGCCCTGGGAATTTCAAGCAGCACCAAAAACCCCAAGCCACTGCCACCAACCAAACCAGGGCTAAGGCACAACAGGAAGGGGTCCGACAGGGCTCAGGTCAGCTGCCTGAAACCACATAGCCGTCCTAAAACAGAGGCTCCATCTCCACCCCTGCATCAGCTACCACCACCTGGAAAGGCCAAGTTAACACCTTTGCCTTTTCCCAGCCCAGACAAGCTTCAAGCATGACCCATATCTCAAAGGCCACAGCCTCTAGCTTCACGTTGGCCCACTGTAGCTTACCCTGCCTGACCTACTGCTACTAGCATAGCTCACTCATCCCAATCAGCTGCTGCCCACACCTCTCCAAAGGTTCTTGTCAAACCAGCTCAGCCAGTCCTTGACAACATCAGCCAACTGGACTCAACCACCTCTACCCATCTTGGTCTTCTTCAGTCTGCTGCTTCTATTCCCGCACCCCACAAAACATTACCTTGTGCCTCCTTTTGGCAGGAGCCTGCTGCCATTGCTGTGACCAAGTGCCGGTCCCTGCCTAAGCTGCAAAACCAATTCTCCTCCAAGATTTCCACTACCAACCAATTCCCCAGAAGGAACCTAGTATTCCTAAGCCAGTAATGTCAACCCCTGTCACAGAAGAACAGAGGCCAGAGTGTGAAGCCATGAAGAGGCAGGCTCAGAAAGAATGACAGCTGGCCACCAAACATACCTCTTTAGTGAAACTGCAGTTTTTCAGGCAGAGGGAGAAAGACTGGGGAGTTGCTTAGTACTACGGGTAAGCAAGCTGAGAGCTGCCAAGACTGTGCCACATCGGGTACCAAGTGACCTTCCACACAGAGATATTAGAGACAGATGAAAATGTATTTATTCTGATGTACTGTTTACGATTAATATTACTGCATACTGTTCAGGAGATGGTACAGAAGAAGCAACAGATAAGGAAGAAAGCCGCTTTTTGAGTTCTGAGATACTGTACACTGTGGGGGTTTTTGGTACAGGTGGGGATTAAAGGCTACAGTAGAAAGGATGAACTTAAGGTGGAGAGAACATGGATACACAGGATAAGAAATGAGGAAGGAAAAAGAAGTAAAATTCAAGTCTAGGAAGGCCAAAGAAGAGAGATCACATGGTCTTACAACCATCATGAAGGGGTTAAAATGGCAGGAGACACAAAGTCTGGTGCCAGGATAATAGGGATACAATTTGGAAAAGGTACAAGATGGCACAAGAAGGGTGTGAGTTGACTAGAGGAATGATAAAACATCTCTCATGGAAAAGTGCCTCCTGTCTCCTGACCAATCAGGTGGGTATTTTAGAAAATACAGTTCGGGACACATCAACATGCTTGGGACAGCTAAGATTATACTTGGGAAAAGTGACTCCCAAACAATGGAGAAGCTACAAGGGGAATGGCCAGGGTTCACAGTGATCCTGGGGGCAGCAGACACACTGAGGTCTAGCCAAGTGACCCACCAAGAACACAGCATGGAATAGAAATCAACTGGTTTCAAAATTTAGTAGCCAATTTAGTCACTCTATATTTCTGCCTAAGGAAACAACAATGTCTTCTTTCCCCCGTTCCTATTTGTTTAGTTTTCCCCAAGCAAACATATAAGCTACGCTGGGTATGGTGGTACACGTCTGTAATCCCAGCACTCAGAGGCTGAGGCAGGAGGATCACTGCGAGTTCGAGACCAGCCTGTGCTACAAAGTGAGATGAAGGCCAGCCTGAATTGCATAGTGAGACCTTGTCTCAAAAAAAAAAAAAAAAAAATTCCATTCTAAGTTTAACTATCTCTTAGACAACTGCATATGTATTCAAAGATGTTCATGAAGAAATGCTTACTACTCCTGTTGCTAGACACAGGTGCAAGTCTCTCGGTCCTTCTTTTCAATCCTGGCCTTCCTTCCAGCTGTCATACCTCAGTGAAAGGAGTCACTGGTGAGGAGGTAATATGCTATTTTTGACAACCCTTAGGCTGTAACTCCTTAATAGATCCCTCTTGCATATCTCTGTCTTCCTGAGAAACCACTCTGAAGATACCACCACGTATTACAGCAGCCATTGATATTTTCCTACTAATCTATCCATAACTGTGTAAAGTTTGTAATGTTCCTATCCTATTTCATAAATGGATGTATGTTTATTATTATGTGTTTCCTACAACAACCATTGAGAAGAGTTAATGATTTTTCAGTAGGTCACTCATGTATAGCTCTATTTATTTTCTTTAGAAGCCACTTTGAAGATACCAAAGTATAGTACAGCAACTCTTGATAATCTCCTACCTCTTTTGTCTGTAACTATTATTTGTCTATTTGTTTTCCTGAGAAACTATTTTGTAGACAATAATATGTAAAATGATAAAAAAAAAAGAAATGCTTACTACTATAAATTTACAATATTTAAAATTTGTTACTTTCATATTCATCAGTATGCAGGCTTTAAAAAGGGTAAGGTTTCCAAGAATTTTCATAGAAACATCTACAACACATTACCTTAAACAGAAGGTTCATTATACCATGAACTATATACATACGATTTTATTTCCTCTTTTGAAATCTAAAAGGATATATGCTAAATTATTGTTACAGTTTAGATCTAAAATATCCCTTAAAAGTCTCATGTATTCAGCTTTTGGAAGGTGATTGGATCATGAGGACACTATATTCAACAGAGCATTAATCTACTAATCAGTAAATAATAGCTGAAGGTTCTGTTTTAAGGTGGGCTCTGGATTAAAAAGGTAGGTCACTGGAGGTGTGACATGGAAGGCTGTATTTTTGTCCGTGGCTCTTCTGTTCTTTCTGTCCTTCCTGGCCACCATAGGATGAGCAGCATTCCTCTTCCATGCCCTTCCACCATGGAGCTAATCTACCATGGACTGAACCCACTCAAACTGTGAGCTACATAATCTTCTCCTTTAAACTGCAGGTGTTGGGGTATTTTGTCCAAGGGATGAAAAAGTAACTAATATAATTTATAATTAATGATGGTAACCTCTGGATGGGAGACAAGATTGATTTCTACATCACATATTCCTATACTGATTATCTTTTTTCCAACAAGCTTACATTACTATTGTAATCCAGCAAAAAAAAAAAAAAAAAAAAAAAAGTTAAATACAGTTTACCTCTGGAGTTGGCAACTCACAGATGAGGTAGTCAAGCCTGTTTTAAAAATGAGTATTGTGGACACCAGCAAGTTTGTCTATAAAACAAAAAATGTATACTTAAGTAAGTGAAATAGATATACCAAAAGTAAGTTACACAATTTTCTGAAAAGTAATATGTACAAGTTAGTACATTATCATTACCCACAAAAGGAATGTTTTTCAGGAACATATAGAATCACCAACCAGAAAAACCAGTATTCATTACTGGTTTAGAAATGTTTGAAAATTTGAATAGCCCCCTCCTCTTACACTCAGTGATGTAAACTGCAGAAGGGTTAGTTACTAACTGCTAAAATTGCACACAAACTCATTTGTCTTAATATATAGTACCCATCAGAAATGATTCAATTATAGAAAAAGGGAATGAAACAATAAACTACAAGAATGAAATTCATTTCTGAATGAAACAAATGAAATGCCCTTTTTACCCTTTTTTTTGCAGTATTAGAGATGAAACCCAGACCCTCACAAGGCAATCATTCTACCACTGAGCTATAGACAAGACCAATCTTCACTTTTGATACTGAACACAAGTACAACTGTAATCAAAGTGGAAAAACCAGACATACACCTTAAATATGTAAAACAAAGACACAATTTCACTGGCCCACTGTTTTATTTTGGTTCTATTTGAGACTGCCTCACATAACCCTTTGCCTTTTGCTTTTATGTAACCTCACACCTTGAGTTTTTCTTATCCTCTCTTCTAACTTCATAACCAGTTATAAGACCACAGGTTTTTATTTTGTTATGAGTGAGGTAGTTCAGTTCATCTTTCTCACTAAAATCACTTCCCAAAGTAAATTATTTGTGACCAACAAAAAGACAAACATTTTACTCTGCTATCGTGACATTTTCACCTTAACATCATTAAAAATGGGCTTAATGTTCAAACTATTAAAAATACCAAGCATCTCCAAAGCCATTCAAAATGCACACAAAACGCAGATGTAAAAAAACCAACATTATCTTTATTTCAAAAATACGTTAACAGAATATCTCTTTTTCAGTTATTTTTCATTAGTCCATGTTTGCAGTACATGGTGATTACCTTCCTCCTGAGGGGAGCTGGTACAGGTACACAGGCATTTTAATTATTTTTTCATCCCCTTCCCTTCCGCTCCATCTCTTGATCTCCTTCCCATTTGGGAAAGATCTATCTCTTTAATTCCTATTGTCTACCTTTTGTTTCTCTCCTTATATTTGGGGTTCTCCTATGAGAGAAACCATGCGGTATTTAAGCTTGTGTGTCTGTTTTCCTTCACCTACCTGTATTTTAAGAGAGTCACCATAATTGGGTGGTGGGGACCGGTAGAAGCTTTCCGCAGGCCGCGGGGTGGCGCTGCCCGGGCATCTTCCCGCTCTTGCTCCAGAGGGGCCAGCGCGCGATGGAACCCGCGCCTAGACGCTACCAGCCTAAAAGGCCAAGCCTCAGAGCCAGCGCTCATTACCTTTCCGGGATGTGGTTTCTGCCGTTCCTCTAGGGTGAGGGATGTGCAGAAAAGTCCTGTTCAGCGGCCCCAGCCACTGGGCACGTGACGCCATGGGTTCACTAGGGGTCAGAGCGTTCGCTCTCCCGACCTCCGTGCCAGAACGAGAGTCTGGATCGAAGAGGATCCGCTGCCTCACTACTGCGCCTGCGTCTGGGCCCCCTCTGACGACATCAGTAGGCGCACTGAGACGGGAGGTTTGTAAAAGGACGTTGGTGACCACAGTACTGTCTGCAAGCCCAGCTTTTGATCACTTAGTCAAAATGATTACTTGAGAACTAAGTTTCTCAAGAAATGGAAGAAAAAAGATATTTAAACTTTCTCACTTTCAGATTACTCATCTATAAAGGGTTATAATACTAATCACAGTGATAATTCATCCATGAGTGAAGTCACATATAGCATATAATTTGGGTAGATGAAGATATAGCAAGTTCTGGAAAGACAGACAAAAATGAAAAAACACATAACATTACAGAACTAAAAAGAACAAATTGGGCATGGTGGCTCAAGCCTGTGATCCCAGCACTCTGGGAGGCTCCAGGAGCACTAAGAGTTTAAGTCCAACCTGGGCAACTTAGCAGTTTACTGAGACCCTGTCTTAAAATAAAATTTTTTTTAAAGGGCTAGAGAACATAGCTCAATTGGAAGGCCCTGGATTCAACCCCTAGTAAACACAAAATGTCCCCTACCCCGTCGCTTCTCCTCCTTTTGGCTACGATCAAATGAACCCCCCACACACCACATTATTGCCTTGGCTGGGAACCTCTGAGGAGTGGGTGAGGTCCCCTGTAAAGACCCTCAGCCTCTCTTCTGGGTCCTTGCTGTCCTTCAAAGAATGAAGAACTGGGGCTCTTAGTGGGAAATAGGGGATTCAAAACTGATATAGTGCAAAGCAAAAGTTTATTTCAAGTATGGCGAATACGGAGAAAGCAGAACTATCTTGGCAGCAGAGTGGTGCTGCAAGTATAACATATGTCCATACTTATAGGGGCAAACTGTTTCATTGATTGGTGTGTGCTAGGCCAATCAGGGTCTTAGCTTTTGTTTCTAGAAAGGGGACAAAGTCAGTTAGGGACTTCTTGAGCATGAGTAACATTTTCATAAGAATACAGTAGGGTACATTTTTTTTCAAGCACATGGTACACAGATAAGCTTGTGATCATTTTACAATCATCAGCCATAAATAAATGTGATGATGTCTGCTACAGATATGCATGTGATGATTCTACCATCAGCCATCTGGATCTTGCCCTAGGTCCTCTGTCTATGTCTCTCTAATCTGTCCCTACAACAATATATATAAATTAGTGAAAATTAGGGCTGGGGATTTAGCTCAGCGGCACAGCGCCTGCCCGGCAAGCGCAAGGTCGTGAGTTTGATTCCTGGTACCAGAAGAAAAAAAAAAAAAAAAAGAAAGAAATTAGTGAAAATTGAGGGTACAGGCAACAAAGCATAATACAGTTTACCATTTAGCAAGCATCAAAGCATAGTAAACTTACCACAAATAGTTACACATACAATTTTAGGCAAGTGGCCATTGTCTATTTTATTTTAGTACTATTAGCCAAAAAGTAGTACACAATAGAGAGTGACTTTGAATGAACTTATAACTGATACATATAGACAGAGGAGTCATATTGGTTAAAAAAAATGTGTAGCTAGGAGCAAAAGACAGTAAATGCAAAAATATAGGTAGCTATAATTCATACAGACAAATATTTCAATAAAACTTCTATGAAGCTGGAACGGAAGCCTGTGTCTATAGTCCCTTGGGGAGGCTGAGGCAAGAGGATTGCTTCTGCCCAAAATTTTGAGGCCAGGGCAACATAGGGATATTTTAATCTCAAAAAGAAACAAAAAGCAAAAAAAAAGGCAAAAAAAACAAACAAACCAAAAAACCCTCATACAAACTAGAAAACAAAACAATATGTGTAAAGGAACACCATTATTATGATCATTCATAGTTCTGTAAATATTTACCCACCAAGGATCAGAGACTAATTTCACTAATTTTTTTTTGCATTTTTTAACTTTATAGATGCATTTAGATATACATAATGGTAATATTCATCATAGAAAATTTATATAGATAGACATTTTTAGTACATATTTATAATATATAATCTTTACACTCTTTGTGGGGAATTGGTACATGTACATAATTCTTTTTTTTAATTCCCTCCCCCATCCATCTCTTGATTCCTTTTTTTGGTATGTGTTCGCAATACATAAAGTTTGCATTCCTTGTGTGGAGTTGGTACATGTATATAATACATCTTTCTTTTGGTTTGTTTGTTTTTTGAGACAGGATCTCACTACATAGTTCAGGCTGGCCTTGAACACACAATGTAGCCCAGGCTGGCCTCAAACTGGCAGCAGTCCTCTTCCTCAGCCACCTGAATGCTGGGATTACAGGAGTGTGCCACCATACCTGGCTACATAACACATCTTTATTCCTTTTTTTCCCCCTCTTTTTGGTTTTATGAGACAGGGTCTTACTATGTAGTTCATGCTGGACTTGAACTCATTATGTAGCCCAGGTTCACCTCAAATTTGCAGTGATGTTCCTTCCTTAGCCTTCTGCGTGCTCAGATTACAGGCGTGTGCCATCACACCTGCGCTTAATTCTTCTTTTAATCCATTTTCCCTTTCCTTCCTTGTCCCTCCTTCTATCTCTTGATTCTTTTACCCTTTTAGAAAGATCTAGCTCCCTACTTTCTATTATTTATTTTTTTGCTTTTTATTTATACCTTGGGTTTCTCTTATCAGACAAACCATGCAATGTTTAAGTTTGTGTGTCTGATTTATTTCACTTAACATTATGGTCTCAAGGTGCATTCATTTTCCTACAGATGACTCAGGTTTATCTTTCTTTATGGCAGAGTACTACTCCACTGTATATTAAAAACCACATTTTCTCATCCATTCATCTGTTGATGGACAGATAGGCTGCTTCCAACATTTAGCTATTGTGAATTGTGCTGCTATCTACATGGGCATGCATGTATCATTGTTAAGTATTTTTAAATTTTTTCATATTTTTTGTTTTATTCTACGTGTTTTAATTAATATAGCCATATTACAAGCAGAAAAAATACTTGAACAGGATCATGAAAGTTTTTATTTATCATCAAAATTTAGTTTATAGCCTTCTTCAACACTCAGAAAAATGGCACTCCTAAAGCCTAACAAAAACATCAGTTCCACAATATAGGTTTTTGTTTTGATTTGGTTTGGTTTGGTTTTGGTGCTAAGGACTGAACCCAAAGACTTGTACTGTACATGGTAAATATGTCCTCTGCCTCTAAGCTATAGACCAGCCTTAAAGAGTTCTAATGTAGAAGACTGCAAAGGAGTTCACATAATTGTTTTAGGAAAATACTGAATTAGAGATATGGGACTTCATATTTTAGTCTTAGGCAGGTTATTTTTTTGATTCTTCAGTCTACAAGCCACTAATAATATATATATATATATATATATATATATATATATATATATACACATATATAAATTACTATGGACTGTATGTAGTCAGTAGGTATTCTGTTTTAGAAAGAAACCTATTGCAAAGATGTAAAGTGGTTTTCTTCTTTCTTTTTTTTTCTCTGGAAAATTTTATGAAAGCTTGACACTTTTTCTTTCTTTAATAATTGAAATAAATGCACTGATACCATCTGTTCCTAGACTTCTGGGAAGGTTTTTAAATACCATTCAATTTTTTGCAGCTGTAATAAGACACAATCTGCGTCTGGTATGACCATGGTTCTAGGGTTTCTATGGTAGCATGTTTGCCAAAGGCCCACCCTGTTGGCAATTTCTAAATTCTAATAATTTTTTTTTCCTCAATACTGAAAAACACAAAACAAAACCAAATCTACTTTTTTCAGATTAGCTTTTCCGGTTCCCACTCCATTCAGTGTCAGACTTTGGAAACTTTCATGAGAAATCCGTGTTTAAAGTCCCCAAGTGTGTTCTCTGATGTGCAATGAGCTTTGACTCCACGTAAAATGACTTTCCACAAATGCTACATTCATAGAGTTTCTCTCCTGTGTGTCCTATGATGTGCAATGAGCTTTGACTTCACACAGAAGGGTTTTCTACATTCATTACATTCATAGGGTTTCTTTCTTATGTGAGTTCTCTAATTAGCAATTAGGGCTGACTTCTGACAAAGGTTTTCTCACATTCAATGTACCCAAAAGGCTTCTATCCTGTGTGTCTTCTCTGTTGTTCTATGAACCCTGAGTGTTAGCAGAAAAAATTTCTACACTGAACACATTCATAGAGTTTCTCACCTATGTGAGTTCTTAGATGTTTTTGAGGGTGTACTTCTCAGAAAAGGACTTCCCACATTCATTACATAGATAAGGTTTTCCCCCTATGTGAGTTATTTGGTGTTTAATGAGGTCTGATTTTCTGACAAAATCTTTCCTACATTCACAGCATTCATAGGGCTTCTCCCCTGTGTGTGTTTTCAGATGTACAGTAAGGACTGATTTAAATGAGAAGGCTTTCCCACATTCGTGACATTCATATAGTTTTTCCTGTGTGTATTCTCTTCCGATGTTCAGTAAGGGTTGACTTTTCCCTGAAGGATTTCCCACATTCGTGGCATCCATAAGATTCCTAAAAAAGAAAAGAAAAAGAAAGATTTCTCCCCTGTGTAAATTCTCTGATACTTAATGAGACCAGAATTCTTACAGAAAGTTTTTCCACATTCCTGGAATTCATAGGATTTCCCAATGTGTGTTCTCTGATGTCTTGTATGGGTTGACTTCTAGTTGAATATTTTCCCACATTCATGACATTCATAGGGTTGTTCTGTGTGTGTTCTCTGTTGTACACTAAGGACTAACTGTTCACTGAAAAAGTCGCATATTCATTATATTCAGTGATATTGTCAACTGAGTGGATTCTTTGAGTTGGAATGAGATCTGATTTCTGACAAAAGGTAAGCACTCTGATGTTCAGTGAGGTTGACTTCTTCAAGGAAATGTTCTCTACATTCACTAAATTCATAGCAATTCTCTCTGGGATGTTCTTTTTGGTGAGCAATGAGAGGTGACACATCTTTCCCATGTTGAGTATAGTCACAGGTTTTCTGTCCTGTGTAAGGTCTCTCATGTATAAGGAAGAGCGA